AATCCATGTTTTGTGGGTCCTTTTTACCGAATGAATGCTTTAAGTTGAAACGTCCACCTGCCCCTCCGTCAAACCGGGCGTGGGCAACGTTAGCGCCTTAACCCTTTAGACGATTTTCTTCAAAATGGGTATTAATATGACCCCACATTCCCCGATCGATGTGGCCGAATTCAAGGCCCTAGGAATTTGAAAAGGGTATTTTGATCGTAGAAGTACTTAACATCAAGCCTTAACATTTTCAATTTTTTTTCAAAAATGACTACAAATTTTTTGATTAAATTTTTCCTGGGAAAAAGCAAAGAAAACGTAGTGTTGAAGGTTTCATTTTCGTGTAAAGCTGAATTTTCGAAACTGCAATAGCAAAATTTCCTCGGCGTCTTCCTAGAGTTACGATTTCGATGAGAGATTTTTCCTTAGTTTCCGTTATTCATTCCGTTATTCATCCGTTACTCAAAGTAGGATCTTTAACTTAGGTCATAAATAATTCTTGAAAATACGAGTAGTCTTTGCGTAAATCTTGCGCGAAATATTGGCTATTTTATAAACAATATTTTCTTAAAAACGACGCCAATTTCTTTTCTTTTTAACAGGGCAAAATGCGCTTATAAAAAAACGCAGGTCTAAGTTTTGGAGAACTCCAAGAAATTAACATTGGAAAATCCCAATATTACTAGACATTTCTTAACGAAATTCATTCTCAAATAAAAATCTTTAAATAACGACATGCAATTTTTTTGAAAATGTGCGTAGTTTTTTTGGAAAAGTGAGGAGCCATGTTTTTGAGAAAATTTTGAAACCCCGTCCAAATCAAAATATTCATTTCAAATCCAAGAGGCTGCGTCCGGGTGGGCTGGTCAGATTGATCTGGAAATATGAAATTCGGTGAAAATCCTGCTTAAGGTTTAGCCACTTAGGAATTAGGGATGCACAAAACGAGTTTTTCTGTCGAAAACAAACCCTTTTTTGCAGCATTACATCACTTTTAATTCTATGTATTCGTACTTCAGATTTCATGTGAAATCTAAAATATTTCACAATTCAGATTTATAAATCATAAAAACAATGTAATGTTTTCAAAAAACTCGTAGTAAATACGTCGTAGTAAATTTTTTTACAAAACCGCAGAGAAAAAAACAGAATAAGATGTACAAAAACAAAAGTTCTATCACGTTGGTAAATAGTGAAATTTTTAATGCAAATTGACCGTAAATGAGTTAACATCAAACATTAAGAATCTCCAAATGAAAGAAAAAAAATTCCGCTGGTGAGAAAATAATATAGTAGACGATGATTAGGATATAGAAATATATCAAGCTAAAATGAACTAGAAACTTTATACCGCATCATTTGAAACACATTTACTCACAAATGAAATAATATATACATATCGCCGCTAGCAAAAATATTAACGACGTGAGAGAGATAAAAACATTACATTAGGGTATTTTTTGAAAAAACAACCATTCAGCAAAATGCCATCTTATGTCATCATGATATGTCATATTATTCAATGATCCGGTTCTAAAAATGGAGTTTTGAAGAATCTTGAGAGTATGATGAATACTCACGGCGAATAAAATGTTTCACATCAGACTAATTGTTCACTTGCCAGTGGTGTTGAAGAAAGTAAGTATCACGCCGCATTGGTTACCTTTGCTATGTGCCCGGGGCCACCAAGGCAACATTTGCCTTTGGTGACGAAGGTGCAGTTGATGGGGTTTGGAACTGTACTTTCAGGCGTTATTGATTGAGCATGGACAGCAGGAAGAAATTCTGTTAATTGGAGCTCTTACATAACTATTCCCCGATCGATGAAACAGTAGAAGTGTCGTCCTTTCGTTTCGTTCAATGTTTAGGGAGAAAACGAACATATTCAGAGTTGCTGTTTTATTGCGTAGTCTGGTGGCTTTTGACACAAAATATTTCGTTTAAAAAGTAATCTTATTACTTCTTTCATAAAGTATTGGTTGCCTTTCTCAGAAGTCAAGTTACAATCTTGTGAGTTTTTTCATTGCATTTCTGAAATGTTCATTGAAATTTCAGGTTATTTATACTCACGTGTTTATGAAAATTTGGACAGGAAATAGGCTCCTTGAATCTTATTTCAATTTTTCTAACTTAATCACGTCACATGAATGTCGATCGGATTTTCGCTGTTTCCGTTGATTCATAGAGCAACTGTATATTCGTTTTGAAAATGTTACACAGCTTGTAATGTTTTTCATAAATATAAATCAAAAAAACTTGTTTTTCGGGGATAGTCCGTGACAAATACCCACGGGAAATTTGTGGTCTTAATCTAAAAGTTAGTTTTTTATACAAAAACTAATAAAAATATTCACGAATATAATTTATACTAAACGATCCGTGAATTATTGTTTTAATCTGTGCTGCATTTAAAAATCTAACATTTTATACAAGGAATGAGATATGGATTTTTATCGTTATCTTAGTATTGTTTTTTTTATTCTAGTCAAATTGTGAACTATTTTTATTAATCAAGGATCCACCACTGTTGAACCTTCCTACATATGCACTTATATATTACATATCCCATACATATACCACTACATATCCCATTTTACAGATATATTTTAAATAACTTTTCTACAGAATTTGCGCTTAATTTACAAGGAGATATACTGATCTGGATTTGAAAGTCCCGAAAATTCGTCGAGACACTTGGGATTACGTGTTTCTTAAAGGCATTAAAAATTGCTGGAGAGCATGACACAATGATATACTACGTAGCAGCAACGCTGCTGTTCTCATCGTTAGTACCGTACCATAAATGACCATTATATTCGGTAACACGTATGTATCACTTTGTTCATTAAAATTCATTTTTTCAGTCGATGAGCGAATAAAGCTTAGTGATATATCAATGAATTGAAATAAGGCATTGTTTTAATGACTGTGAGTGCATTACTTATTTTTATACATATCATTTATTGTCCATTATATTATTTGCTTTGATGAATGTTTAAAACAGATAAATTTGGAATACGTTTATTTGTTTATTTTTTATCATAAACATAATATGGAAAAACGTTTTTTGATACAATTTTCGTCATGATTCATTTTTACTTGAGCCATAGATCAATATTTGTAATGAGAAATTGTTGTACTATAGATTAATTCAGTTTTTAATGCGAGAAAAACACGTGCTTCATGTTGTGAAGCTGGATAAACAGATTGCAAAGAATCATGATTGTGAAATTTAATTCTCCATAATTAGTTTATTTGTAACGGAAATACGATTTTAAAAAATGTTAATAAAAATATCATTTTAAAGTCACTTCTTCCATTTTTATAGTACTTATTTCCATTTTTACTTGAGCCATAGATCAAGATTTGTAATGAGGAATTGTTGTACTATAGATTAATTCAGTTGTAATGTGAGAAAAACACGTGCTTAATGTTGTGAAGCTGAATCAACAGATTGAAAAGAATCGTTTAGTTTTCAATTCTAACTAAATCATCGGAACTGGATGACAAATAGGTATCAAGCCAATATTCCTGCGCTTTCACATGATTTTATTCCATTTTATCTGAGATACTCCGAAGACAGCTTAATTTTTATATTTTATTTAACCCACACAGAAACGCTAAGAGGTTGTCCATTAAGTATGTAACGCAAATTCTGAGTATTTTGAATACACCGTAACGCACCGGCAACGCACGCTTGAACTTATGTTCCGCTTGAGCCAACCCCTATTTACAAAAAGTAAAAATAAATTAGTACTACAGACAATTAGTATTACAAACCATTTGTATTAATTTTATTTGTATAAAATATTAAAATTTATTATAAATAACGTTTGAATTAATTAGCGATGCTGCTCCCACCTATCAATCACGATTCGGGACAGTTTTTGAGGGAAGGAACGACACATTGGCGAGAACATTTCTGACGAGCCGCACACACCCTGTCTTGGACGAGGCATGGGTGGACGTCTTCTTGGCAAATTTAAATGAATTCTAGAATATATTATAGCTTTGTTTTGAATATTTTCATTGTAATAAAAAAGATTCAATCAATGTGATGAATTTTTGATGGAAAATATTTCGCTTTATTGGAACAACTTAACATCAGTACTTTTTAATTCATTTCATCACTTATTCTCTTTTAAATTGAATTTGGTAATATTTTAATGTTTTTGTGCAATATTGAGTAAAAGGAATTATTTCAGCAAATGTTGAAAAAAAAAATAAATATTTGCAATATGTAACACTAAAGTTATCACCCCCAACCCATATGTAACGCAGCGTAATCGTGCCTTAAACGCCCTTCCTCCTCTTTAGCGTTGCGTAATTAATGGAAAACCCCTCAGGTGGTCGTTATTTGAGCAATGTTGATTTTTTCTTTCTCCTTCGATATATTTCAACTGTAAAACGATTTAGGAGTGCAAAGTTTCAGTATATTTAAATACTATTTACCCGGGCTCGCATTAGCAATTTTTTAGTGTACTGTACCATTTATTTTTATAGAAGTAAATACGAATAAGTAATCGTGTATAACTGTTTTAAAGGGGTCACCTGGGGCTACCCTTGAGAACTTTTATCTGTGGAATAAATAATATATTTTAACAAAAAATTGTCGAAAAAGGACAGATCGGCGGAGATACCCGTACGCTGGTTTGAGCACAGCTCGAATTTCGACATATTTGTTAAAAATTATTTATTTTTTAGTATTGTTTAGATTTTAATTAATATTAATAAATTCATTTATGTTTTTAAAAAGAGCGTTTGGTTTTTACAAGTCTGATAATTTAGAGGTCATATTAAAGTGTCAAGTGGGTTAGGGGAACACATGCTTCTCTAGCTTGTCGTTAGGAAACAAATATTCCAAAAGATTATTTAACAAGGGAAACAGATAAACTTTGTTTTTCTACGTATCATCTTTTACCCAACAAATACTCTGAACAGGTGTATTCGATTTAGATTTTTTGTTCAAGACGATAAGAACATGTTATGTGAAATTTTATGTACTTGTACAGAACGAACGGTGCCAAGATACAATCGAGGAAGAAATATTTTCGGAGAAGCACAAATTGTGTCACGAGAGTGCCTGACTCACGAGTGACAGCGGAAGTGAGAAGAAAGAACTTGCACCGCCCGCACGAAGTAACGCTTCGCAAGAAGCGGCCGCCAGGAGAATCGCACCGGGGCCCTCGCCGCCGCACGAGGCGCGCAGCGCGCGTTGCAAGAGATCGGCGCTCCAGGCAGGCAAGCGGGCAGGCAAGCGGGCTGGCAAGCGGGCTGGCAAGCGGGCTGGCAAGCGGGCTGGCAGGCAGGTAGGCGGGGAGGCTCGCCGGCCGCGGAAGGAGGAAAAGTAGTCCCCGTCGCTTGTGGGCCCGCGAGTGGGAGTTCCGACCACGAAGCCGAGCGGCGAGAGCGAGGCTAGTGAGCAGTGGCGGGGGTGGATTTGGCTGAAGTGGCGACTTCCAATGGAGAGCTGCCGCCATCGCAGCACCACCAACTGGCTCCGGCGCCGCCGCAGCCGAGCCCGCAATCTCGGCCAGCACAGCGGGCGTGCGCCGGGCGAGAGCAGCGACGGCGCGGGCGGGGGCGGATGCGGCCGGCCCGCGCGGCCGACGGCAGCAGCGGGGGGAGGGGCGCGACACTTCCCCTCCCCGCTGTCAGCGACGGCGCCCCGGCCCCGCCCCTGGCGCACGCCCCCGCCCCCGCCCCCGCCCCCGGCGCCCTCCAGCACGGACCGGTGGCCTGAATCTCTCTCACCAAGAGGGAGATTCCGGAGGGGGCGGTTGCTGGAGGGGGGGGGGCGGTGGCGGGCGGGGCGGGCGAGGGGCGGCGGGCCGTCGCTGACAGGGAGGGGAGACGTTTCCCGCGGCCTGCCTCCCGCTGCTTGCCCTCCCGTCTCGCCGCGCGGCCGGGCATCCGCCGCGCGCCGTCGTGCTCTCCGCCGGCCAGCGCTGTGGGCTGGCGAGATTTTAGCGGCTGCGGGCTGCGGCGGCGCCGGCCAGTTGGTGGTGCGTGGAAGGCGGCAGCTTCTCCATTAAGTCGCCACTTCAGCCAAATCCAAGCACCGCACTGCTCACTAGCCTCGCCTTCGCGCTCGGCTTCGTGGTCGGAATCCACTCTGCGGGCCACAAGCGACGGGGATACTTTTCTTCTTCCGCGGCCGCGACCTCCGCCTACTCTGCCACCGCTTGGCGCCGCTTGCAGCCGCTTGCCAGCCCGCTTGCCTGCCGCTTGCTGCTGACGCCGGCTTCTTGCACGCCCGCTGCGCGCTCGTGCGGCGGCGAGGGCCCGGGTGCGATCTCTGGCGGCGTTCTTGCGAAGCGTTACTTCGTGCGGGCGGTCAAGTTCTTTCTTCTCACTTCCGCTGTCATCGTGATAGGCATCTCGGACCATTTGTGCTTCTCGAAATTTTCTTCTCGATTGTATTTTGGACGGTTGTTC